AATTGGACAACAAAAATAGTTTTGTATGCAGCTTTGCAGAGCATGAAATGGTCAACGAAAATCAAAGCAGCTTATAACACTTAAAGTCCAGGAGTTTTTTATACAGTTAATTTAGCTACTTTCAACCTCTAAAGTCTGTCACCACAATAGTTTAATCTTTTCTTTAAAGACCTTTGACCGAGGGTTATTATAAGGACAATGAAACCAAAGAAAGCTGGAGGCAAAGTGGAATAGATTCAAAACGATTACTTTTACCATTTACACTGTCTAAAGTACTGAGACTTCTTCAATATCTACCAACATTTTTACACACTGGTTACAGTCAAAGCATAGATTCATACAGTTCATCCACTTAATGGACTGCACTATATCATTTCCCTCAAAAAAGCATATTAATTAATTTTTTAAATCCAGGTCTTTTACGTCTGTTTATTTATGTATTTATTCTTTTATTAGGGCTCACAAGCTTTCAAGCACCACAGTGTATCTACTTCTGTAGGAGTGAAAGCTGTCAGACTGGGTTTTTTAAGGATTTGTAAACTGACAAAAAGGCCTTTGTATAGCATAATTTAATACTGAAATACTTTATTCTGTGTACTTATAGGACTTTATCTACAAGCACAACATGGCCAGTTTGCAATTACCAATTAAAAATGTACTTTTACTTTTGATCAGAGGAAGTCAGAGTAGAGAAAACACACACACACAGGCACCAGACGACAGCTTTGCTTTTGTGCTCAGCTCTCTCTTCAACATGACGGGTACAGCGTCCACACCACTGCAGACGCCACCCCAATCCATCTGTCAATCTCTTGCTTTCCCCTCACTTTTGAACAAGACTGCAAGATACTCAAGTGAGCATTCTCCTCTTTTCTGGCTGAGGACCATGGCCTCAGATTTGGAGGCACTAAGTGTCATTGCAATGCTTCACACTTGGCTGCAAACCACTCCGTTGTGAGCCGGAGGCCACCACTTGATGCAGCTAACAGAACCACATCATCTGCAAAAAGCAGGGATGCAATTCTAAGCCAACCAGACTGTAAGCCTTCCACCACCTGGCTCCGTCAAGAAAAATTATGAACCAAATCAGTGACAAAGGGCAGCCCTGGTGGAGTCCAACACCAGCTGGGAATGATCGTGGGGAAGCTGAGAGCTACCACATGGGCCTCCCTAGAGAGCAAAGTGAGCATCCTCGGCAGGCCTCCCTTGACACCACACCACTGCCCCCGTAGCTGAACCACAAACCATACCACAGACTGAAAAAAGGAAAGAATCAAAGTATTGCAATGACCCAGGTAAAGACCCCATTTCACAATGCTATGATAAGACCTTAAGAAAGCTGTGCATAAATGAATGCCCACAAACTTCAATGAACTGAAGCACAACACTGTAAAGAACATTGGACTAAAATTCCTCCAATGTGAGAAGGTGACATAATTCGGGGGGCCTGAAAAAGAAATTAAAGCCCATACAGGTAAATAACGTAATTTAACCAAAAGAAACAAATGTTGTACTGAAATTACATTTTGCAGACATGTATGCATGGATTTTACTTTGATAAGGAATAATTTTCCCAGGGATAAAATTTTTACATTGGCATAGCTTTGTGGTGACCTTTGGGTTGGTGTTGGAGCTTTTTAGCCTTAATTAAAACACAGTTGTAGTTTATTTTAACCATATATTTAAGTAAAGAAGAAACGTGCGTGTGAGTGTGTGTGTGTGTGTGTGAGAGAGAGAGAGAGCGAGCGAGCGGGGGGGGATATCTTTCTTTCTTTTTTTAAAGACAAAGAATTTAACTTTATCTAATCCATTCTGGTTAAAGTGGTTATGATCTCTCTATCTAAAAGAAGGAAATGCTACCCAGGTTGGTATCTCCAAGATGTTTCCAAGCTACAGATTTTGCATAGGTGCATAGACTCCTTTAGTGGTTGAATGGCCAATAACTTTCTTCAACTTAATGAGGAGAGAACTGAAGTCCTTGTTTGTGCTCCCGAAAAATTTGTGCCCAAGGTTATGGAAAAATGAGGTCCTCTTGCAACATTTGCCAAATCTTTTATTAGGAATCTTGGTGTTACTTTTGACTCAGCTCCTGTTTTTATCATTTAAGAAACATTACTAAGCTGAGTCCCATTGTGTCACACTCGGAACTTGAAATTGTCATTCATGCATTTGTTTCATCTTGTTTGGACTATTGTAATTCTTTGTTCACTTGTTTATGTAAGCCCTCAGAATGCTGCTGCAAGGCTTCTGACCAAGTCCTCCAAGTACTCCCACGTCACACCCCAGCTGCACTGGCTCCCCATTAAATTCAGAATTTAAGATTATGACTCTGTAATTCAGGGCTCTGCATGGACAAGCACTGGCATACATCAGTGATCTTTTACATCCATACATCCCCAGCAGGCCCCTGAGGTCATGTGATCAGGGCTTGCTGGTTGACCATCACACAAGGCTGAAAATGAAAGGTGACAGAGCTTTTGTAACTGTGGCCCCCAGACTCTGGAACTCACTCCCTACCAGCTTGAAATCTGTGGACTCTTTTTAAAAAACAGCTAAAAACTCGTCTTTTTAAACTTAATTTTGGTTAATTTTTCTTTTTATGTTTTAGCTTCTGTGAAGCACTCTTTTATTTTTATCTTGATAGGTGCTATATAAATAAAAATTTGCTTTACTTGCTTTTACTTTACTTACCACACAGAGGTTCTGTTGTCTATTTTATATTTAGATGGCAGCCCCCTGCCCACCACTGCAGCTCCCAGGACAGCTCTCACTATGGGCGCTGCTGACATTGCTATTGTTGTTGTCTACTTTATAATTGTCATGGTGGTTGGAATCTGGGTAAGAAGAGACTAAACTAATTTCATATTTACATTTGAATCACTAAACAGTTTATACCAAAGCTAATTTAAGCTTGATTTGTTTGTTCCTTTATATGTAAAAAATACAAGAAAGTTCTGTACAAGTCCATGCTAAACATGTTTATATAGAAAAATAAAATTATTTTTACATATGTTTTTTTTCTATGTGCTTAATTAACTATAGCCATTATGAGTGCATTTCTCCATTTACTAGAAAATGATTCTTGGATGTTCTACAAAGAGTTCATCCTTGCGAATTAATTGTATTTACTATATTTTGTACCAGCTCAATCTTTGGTGTTGTTTTAAAACTGTATTATCCTAATCTTTTCTTTTGTCCTTGCTATAGTCATCAATGCGTGTCAATCGCAGCACTGTTGGGGGGTACTTCTTGGCTGGTCGTTCAGTGACTTGGTGGCCTGTGAGTAACAAACAATTGACTGTTGTGCGTCATATAAAGCTCTTGATTTCAAATCGATTGTCACACGCCTGTGCTATGACACCCTGTACGACACACACACAGCCAATGTTCTAATGCAAGGGACTTTCTATTTACAATAAACAACACGCTTAAGTCAAAGTCAAATTTATTTGTATAGCACATTTAAAACAACAACTGTTGACCAAGGTGCTGTACAATCAAGATAAGCAAAAGAAATAAAAACATAGGGAGACATGATAAAAGTTAAGAAAAAGAATCATAACATTAGAAGATTTGAGTAAATGATAAGATATATAAAAGTAATACAAACTCATTCTGGTTTAAAAGCTGTAGGGCCTGGTTTGTTTGCAGTCATCATGTCTCCAGCTTAGCTCTCCTCTCCTCTTGGTCCGAGAAAAGCGCTGCCAGTCTCAATGACACTGCCCCTGAATCCACTGCACCACCCCTCCTCTGCAGCCGAGCTGCAGAGCACACGCCACCATACTGATATATTCCACACTACATGTAGTTATGTAGATTGCATGGCTTTATCAGGAATAAATAAGCACATTATATTATATTACTGCCAGGTAGTAGGAGGGAAGAAGAAGCTTTTAGGCATGTGTTCTCTGGGGAAGTGTTGCTGTTACACACAGAGACACGGTACAGACTTGGAATCTAAACAAAACCAAAAAATAAACAAATATACAAAATGAAAATTTACAACATGAATTCAAATATATAACTAGAAAACTGGAAATCCTATGGAAGAGGATTGGGGCCACTGAAAAAAAGGGATGTCAGAATTCTGACTTTTTTCTCAGAATTCTGAAAAAAAAGACATCCCGACTTTTTTTTCCAGTGGCCCCAATCCTCATCTGTAAAATCCACTGTCAATAGAAAATTGTACTTAGTAGTCAGTATAGACTTTTAATAAAATAAGTTTGCATATGATAGAATACTGCATGATGACCTCTTTATAACTCGGACTCTTTTTAGTTCACTGTGACTCGTTATCATGCAGGGAAGGAGCAGTACCTATTAGTGCTAGATAAGAGCTTAACGAGCAGTTTCACTTCGTGCCAGGTAGAGAAGCCTCTCCTGGCACACACGCACACGCGCACACACACATATACACATCCACATTCCAATGTAATAAACGAATGCACCTACTTTTGTATATAAATAAAGACCAGAGCGGTAACAGAGCGCACTTCACAGGGCCCCCACTCTGAAGTGAGCGCTCTGTGACCGCCCTTGCAAGTAAAAACTGCAGCGTGTGTGTCTCCACTCTCTGACTCTCAGCTGAAGAAGTGTCTTTTAGAATAAATCTCTTGACATCCACCCTGGAGACTGACTGAAGACAAAACTTTGTTAAAATTAAAATAAGAATGAGAAATACTAAATTACAACATTTGATATTTCAAGTTATGGCAGGAATTGTGTTGATTTTCTGTATAAACTAAATATGACTAAAGTGCATTCACAGGCTGTCATTTAAAAATGTTATTATGTAGTTGTAAGTATTTTAAGTAAGTATTCTAAAAGCTTTTGTTGTTATTGTCTATTATCTCTATTCAATTACAGATTGGAGCCTCTCTGATGTCCAGTAATGTTGGCAGTGGTTTATTTATTGGTCTAGCAGGGACAGGAGCAGCTGGAGGAATCGCTGTTGGGGGATTTGAATGGAACGTAAGAGATGCGCGCACACACACACACACATGCAATTACTTTCTTCAACCTCAACTGGGAGCTAATTCCACAGGAGAAGGGGCTGAAGTGCCCTGTTGGGCACTTCATGCAGGATTTAAAATAATAACATGATCATTCAGTAGTTTCTTTGTAAGGACAATCATTTCATAATCAGTTTGTGATTCAATAGGGTGGCAATGAAGCTAATATGGGAGAAATATGATTTTTTTTTTTTCCTTCTTGTCCCTGGAAGTATTCTCAGTTAAGTATTTTGGATCAACTGAAGGGTTTTCAGAAAACGTTTAGGACATCATGATTACAGGGAATTATAGCAGTCCAGCCTTGATATAAGACAGAACAATGATAAAAAAAAAAAAAACTATGTGTACATGCACCACAGAAATTATTCATTTAACTATTGCTTTTGGTTTCAATGCAACTTTTAAGAGTTGCTCTGAGTATTTCTATATCTTCATTGTGTTGGTTGTAACATTATATGTTTTGGGGTTTCTTTTTACACCAAAATCAGTTAAATCAACTAACACTAGTTGACTATGAACAGGTTGTATTCAATTATCTAAATATGCAACTGTCTGAGCTGGATCACTACAAGACTAAAGATTTAGATATGTAAATAGGGCAAAAACTCACAGTAGACGCTTGTTTGGTACTTCTTCATTTATGCTATTTAAAACTTTGCAATGTCCACTTGAAAAACTGAAAAACATGAACAACTGTTATATTTACTTTTGACAATACGGACAATGTCTCACTGCAACATTGTGTGTTTCTGTGTGTTTCTGTAGGCATCATGGGTTCTGGTAGCTCTGGGTTGGATATTTGTCCCCGTTTACATCTCTGCTGAAGTGGTAACAATGCCCGAATACCTGGCCAAACGCTTTGGAGGCCAGAGGATACGCATATACATGTCTGTTCTGTCACTTATTCTCTACATTTTCACCAAAATATCAGTAAGACATTTATTTTTTCAAAAATATAAATGATCTTAATATGATACAGTAGCCACCTTACCTGTGTGTGTATGTGTGTGTGTGTGTTTCCCAGACAGACATTTTTTCTGGGGCATTGTTTATCCAGTTGTCATTTGGTTGGAATCTGTATCTGTCTACAGTCATACTGTTGCTGGTGACTGCTGTCTACACTGTGGCAGGTAAAAAACAAACCATCATTTAAAATAAATTACATCAGTTTTTTATCTGATGTGTTTTTTCTGGACGAGAACCAATTTTTTTTTTTATCCCACATGCAGTATCCCAGTGTTAATTTTGACAGCAAATTTTGATTTACTTCGTCTCTTGACCAAAATGTCAAACTTTTTAGTCATAATTCTTTTAGGTTTAATCAATTTTTAATCAAAAAATATCATAAGACTATAATATACTATAGCAGGAATGATACTGATGAGTACCAAACACAACACTGGAGACATTAATCCAAGTGTTTAATCCAAAGGGCTTCCAGGAGGTAGTAATGAAGAGAGTCGACTGTCCATGGGATCGCCAGACACTTCTTTTCCACAATATTATACCTACCAGCAGATGTAAACCACAGGGCAGTCAACCCCCTTCCTGCTAGGGCAAAATGGCCCTCAGGCCTCTGCTCTGCAGCACAAAAAGGGAGGGAGAAGTTAAGAGCAGGGGTTTCTCACGTCCCAAGTGGAACCCCAGATACTGTACCTCCCTCCGTCCAGCCGCACACTTCTTTGTGTTGGCCATGTGCTTCACCTGCCTCAGGAAATCCAGGACCGCAACCACTGAATATGCTCAGCCCAGGTGTTACTATGGATGATGATGTGTTCTAGATAGGCGTCGGTATACAAAGTGTGCGGTTGCAGTACTCGGTTCATGAGGCGCTGCAAAGTGCCTATTTTTTTCCTGGACTCTGCAAACAAGACAAGCTGCCAGTAGCCCTTGGTCACATTCAGTGTTGTGAAAAAATGAGCTGTGCCTAACCAGTCCAGTAGTTTGCTGACCCCGGCGCATGGGAAAAGCAGACGTGGGGTCACCCAGCAGCCACGGTGCAGAAGCCACAGGGGGCTGCAGTGACAATCCCGCAGGCGTGGAGACAAACAAAAATGGACACTGTACACACTCTGACACCCCCCAAACATACTCTATACCCCAGGTCCAGGGGTATAGACGCCCCAATGAGGGGCAATCCGTCCCAAGACCCAGGAAAAGTTACCCTTTTCCCTGGGGTGGGGACAGTCCTGCAGCAGCAGGGAGGCCCAGCATCCCAGACACCAACCAGACGGCCAACTCCTCCTCCCAGCCCTCTGCCCCGATGGTGGAGAGAACGGGAGTGTGAAGACCCCATACCTCTCCCTCTCTCTCATGTGTAGTGTTGCTGCGTCTTGTTCTAAAGTGCATTTAAAACATGTGAGGTGCTTTCTGCCAGAGAACAGCAGGTGACACCACGGCCCGAGAACCCTCAGTGTCTATGTGCATTTAAATTGAGAGGTGGGCACCGGCACCAGAGGTGAGGTTGAATACACAGACCATCCTCTGGACGCCGTATAGCACCCCCACCCCCAAGGCCCTATATGTATGTGTTATGAGAGTGTGAGGATGTTTATGTTGTGGAATAAAAATGAGGCACAGGAGGCCAGAAGGTGACAGAGGAGGAATCCCTCCCCTGCACCTTGGTGACACACCTGTACCCCAAGATGCTGCATGTGTGGGTGAGGGAGGCTGTTTCCCTCTCATTCAGGAAGTCCAGCAGCCAGTTACACATGGGGGTGCTGATACCCAGGGAGCTGAGTTTCCTCACGCTAACTTAAAAGTTAACAAGGGGTGACGATGAAACATTGTCATCTGCTGTTTTTCAAAGTGTCTGTAATTATGATTTTAAGGGAAATGAAAATGTTACCATGTTTGTTCAGTGCTCAGAGTGCAGTTTCTATTTAGTAACTCACTGTGACAGGAATGATGGACCCGAACACATATTTTGCTCTTTACACACTTCTTTATTCCTGGTTGCTGCTCTCCCAACAATTGGCTGCAGCATTTCAGCTATAGCTATACAACAACAACAACAACAACATCAACCTCAGGTCCTGGCACATTTGACATAGGGTGATGAGCTGATCGAGCTCAGGTGTGTCAGCCTCCCCCACAGCTGCGCCACAAACCACACCCCGCCACACTCACCTAGTTCAACTGTTTTCGAAATAAGAATTTGTTAAATTATTTATGTTGAAAACGGTCTAAATAACACTATTACCCTGAAACAGACAATCTGACAATAATATAAAAATCTGTATTTATGTAGGTGGTTTGGCAGCTGTGATCTACACTGATGCTCTCCAGACTTTGATCATGGTTGGGGGAGCTTTTGCCTTAATGTTCATAGGTATGGTACACAGACTTATACAGATACACAAACACAATCATGGGTTCTTAATTACATGACTTACATAGTACTGAAAGTTTGGATTAAAAGGTGTTATTGGCTGAAATGTTTCAAGTTAAGTATCAATCAAAAAATAGAAAACTGTTTCTTTACATCCAATTATCCTCACTGAAGGCTTCCACATTTACATGTCATAATATTTATTAGTTAATAAGTGAAGTTATAAAATTGTAAATGTCATTGTACATTTTCCAGCATTCTCCAAGGTGGGCTGGTATGAGGGCCTTGTGGATCGTTACATGTCAAGTATTCCCAATGTGACTGTTCCCAACACCACCTGCCACTTACCCCGTAGTGATGCTTTCCACATGTTCAGAGACCCTGTAACAGGGGATTTACCCTGGCCAGGTCTACTGTTTGGGCTCACCGTACTGGCTACATGGGTCTGGTGCACAGATCAGGTGATTTGATCTACACTAAAATTCAGCATGGTGCACTAATTTTATTGTAGCGGCACACTGCTGTGGGAATAATCCTGGAGGTGGCGGCCTCAAAAACTGATAACATTCGTCTTTGTGAGTCTAAACAATATGTCCCAATACAAATAAATAATGCAATTGATTTGAATTTTTAATTCCTCAAAAACACCTTGATCTCTTTATAACATTCTTCCTTCTCAGGTTTGAATGTAAATGACAAAAGGCAGCATTTGCATACTTGGTCAAAAATGAGTATTACCTGCTATAGCCAAGGTAATGCCATCCAGAGTCTCTAGAGCAGCATATTTCTAGTTAGAGATATGCTGCTAAGATATTTAGGGCAACCTCAGTTTTAACAGTTTTAATTTCTAACAAGTCAGTGTACTCTTAATGCCAGTCCCAAGCTCAAATAAATGGGAACAGTTGGATCAAGAAGGGCATTAGGCATAAAAACATGGCCAAATAAAACATATATAATAAAATTTCTATGCTGGATTGGTTGTGGCCCAGGTTAACAATGTCCGCCAACAGGGTGCCAGTGGAAACTGTGCTACTGTTGGCCAAAAGAAAGAGGTGAAGTGGAAGAGGCAGCATGAGTAAAGGAAAGTCACAGATGCGGAAGTGAGAGTAGAAACTATAAATACAGGGACTATAGAATAGAATAGCCTTTTATTGTCATTGTACATGTACAAGAAAATTGTGGGTGCTCCACACCAACTGTGCCACAATAGAATATAAATAGTAGACAGGAGGAATAAATAGCAAACAGTAAATATATATATATAATCAAGAGGGATATATACAAAAGAAGAGAAATCTATAAAAAAAAAAAAAGAGAAAGGCACACATTAGAGAACAAAATAATTGCAAAGTGCTCAAAAGTGGTGCAAAGAAAAGACTTGCTCTGAGTATAGATTCAGGCTGGTTTGTGAGGAAATCTTTGGCTATACTTCACTCGTCTTCCAAGGTTTTCGGTTAGGAAAAACTAGCTGGAGGCGAGCATCATCTGGTTATGTTTTAACAACTTTTGAGGGGTTTATTTACTGAGTGGGGTGTAGGCAGGGACAGAGGAAAGAGTACAAGGAGACTTGGTGGTGGAATGAGGAAGTAAAGCAAAGTATTCAAAGGAAGAAGTTACCAAAGAAAAAGTTGGATAGGCAGATAAAGAAAGTAGACATGAGTACTGGGAAATTCGGCATACCGCACAGAGAAATGCTTATAAGGAGTTGTATGTGAGGTGGGATACTAAGGAAGAAGGAAAGGACTTGTATCAGTTGGGTGGGCAAAGAGATTGAGCTGGAGCAGACATGTAAACGGTTACATTAATTAAGGATAGAGATGGAAACAAGTGAACAGAGTTTTTTGAGGAAGAAGGAGTACTTTGACGAGCTGATGTAGACAATGAGAGAGAGAGGATCACAGTCATTTTGTCCCTGTGTTACAACACTAACTATGAAACATCCCCTCCCTTTTTTAAAATTAAAAATTTCAGTGAATTGCATTACTTATTTGAATTCAAACATATTTTTTAGACTCAAAAAGTTATTTGTTTTTTTTTTTTTAGTTTTTTGAGACTATCACCTCTATTGATCATTCTCACAGTAATCTGGCGATGAAATATTCTTACTGCATAACGCTATTTTGCACAAGGAGATTACTTCTCATTGCATCACTTCCAAACCTATCCTGCTTTTCTACAAAACGTAATTATTTCTGATCGGAGAGATGAGAATCTCTCCAGCACGTCTTCATCTCAATTGTGTCAAGTGTCATTGTCCATTAGTTTTTGTTCAGTTATCATTTTGTTTATGTCAGGAAAAAAAGATCATTGACAAAGACTATGACAAGAATTATTGGTCAATACAATTAACAGTGTTTAACTGTATTGTAATGTCATTTTTGAGACAGTGTTGACACTTCACAAACCAGAAACCACAGCAACATTTCAGAAAATGCTATAACGAAAAACAAAACACAACAAGAATATACAAAAGTACATTATCTGAGGCCATCTAAGGCCAGCTTGCCAATAGTTACTCTTAATCATTAACCAACATTCATAAAAATGAGAACTGATTCATATAATCATGTCTGTGTTCTCTACTAGCCTTATATAACTGGGCAATGACAGATAACCCACAAGCTAGGCAGCTAAAAATTACATTTCCCCTTCTGAATGTGATAGACTTTCACTAAAACTTTCAACAGCTTAGCTAATGTTACCAGCTTTATGAGACCTGATGCATTTGTGAGGTTTGCATGCAGTGACAGTAGAAGTGTAATCACATGTTTAAGTGTTTAGTTCTCTACTATTATCATTAAAACTAGAATCTGTGTGCACACACACTTGCACATTTTAATACAGTATTTATTACTTATTGTGTATAAATAATATAGAAGGTTTGCAAATGTAAAGTTGAACATTACAAAAGTACAAAATGTCCAATGCAATGATGGATAAAAATGATTATATGTTTATGCTGGTGTGTGTTTTTCCTTCAGGTTATAGTCCAAAGGTCTCTGTCAGCCAAATCTTTGTCTCATGCTAAAGCCGGCAGCGTGTTGGGTGGCTATCTCAAACTGCTCCCAATGTTCTTCGTTGTGATGCCAGGAATGATAAGTCAAGCACTATTCCCAAGTCAGTAGTATACCTCTCAAAGTGGGAATGTTATGTGAAATGTTTTTTAATATTGTTCTATATGCATACTTATCTAATACCAATAATTGATTACCTTGGTATTATTATATATATTATAACAGATGATGCATCTCTTATTATTGTTATTATTGTTTTAAAGAGATTGTTTGCAACTCCTTTTTCAACAAACCTACACTATGACACCATTCTAAGCAGGTCTCCACTTAACTTTACATTAGAAAAATGATCACGTTTTTACTTTTGTTGACACTTTCAATTCATGTTAATGGAGTGGGTAATTGTAGGTAACACATCTGTGGTGTTTTGTCTAATTTAATTCAAACTAAATTGTTATTTTTTCAGCCCCTCCTTTGTTTTCTTCTTTATTTGTAGATGAGGTTGGTTGTGTGGATCCAGATATCTGTCAAAGTGTGTGTGGTGCTTCAGTTGGTTGCTCTAACATTGCTTATCCTAAACTAGTAATAGAGCTAATGCCAGTGGGTAAGACACACACATACACACACACTCATTTTGATATCTTAGTGAAGACATCTAAAACTCGAACTGACATAATGCTTTCCCTACCTGCTTACCCTAACTCTAACTATCAAAAAGGAATGCTTAACCCTAACCCTTAGCCTAAACCTTACTATAACCTAATAGTAACCCTGACACTAAGACCACATTTTAAAATTTCAAAACTGCCGTCAAAACCGTGAGGACAGGCACTTTCCTCACAAGTGACTGTTGGTCCCCACACGTATAGTAACACACACACACACCTATCTATCTATGTATGTATGGCACAAGAAGTAAGAACCTTTTTGTTTGCTCAGTTATATCTGTGTTTTAACAATGCCTCTTGGCAAGAAATCTTAAACTGTTGAAATTGTGTTTATTTCCCCTTAAATGGTGCCACAATTGTAGGGAGAATGTATTTATGGATTAAGCAGTAGAATCAAACCCAATCTTCTCTGTCAATACTAAACAGCTTATTCTGCTATTGACTCTTCTTTTGAGCTTCTGGTACCCAAGATGCTGACAATCAGGTGTGCGACTGGTGCCTAATTAAAAGCAACTGTAAGCAGGGACCCTGCTACAGCACTCAGTTGGTGCCTCCTCCAAGCATGCCACATTTGACTAATCTCAATAGGGACCGTACCAACCTGGAGCTGGTCTTCCATAGAACCAAGTTCAATTCGATTTATTTCAATTATTTTTTAAATACCACCAAATCACATCAGCAGTCACGTGCATGCTCTTCATTATTTGGAACCATCTCTAAATTGAAGGCCAAGTTTCATGTAACGGGCGATGTCAGCTACAGGCCACATCCCAAGAAGATGGAACAACAGGAAGACAGTTTCCTCACCCTGTCAGTAGTAGACAGTCTTTTACAGATTTGCAGTCAAGGTTTACAGAACAATATGGCTGATGGCTCTTTACTGAGATAATCCAGAACAGATCTTTTGTTTTGTTTTTATCTGTAGTGCCTTGATGTTCTCAGAGATAAACACATGCATTAAGAGAGTTTATAAAAATCTATGTTCTTTTTCCATGGCAACAACTGACAATAAGCAGATTTTATAAAATGATGTGCCATAATTTTTTCTTCTTCACAGGACTTCGTGGTCTGATGCTGGCAGTGATGTTAGCTGCTCTTATGTCATCCCTGACTTCCATTTTTAATAGCAGCTCTACTCTGTTTACACTGGACCTCTACTACAAAGCCAGGCCTAAAGCTTCTGAGTTGGAACTTATGATAGTTGGAAGGTAAGATTGACAAGAATACCTAATATGCTTTGGAAAACCAATACAAAACTCAGATGTTCTACAACATTAATACCAAAGCTATACTTACCCTAAATACAGTTTTCAATTGAGCAAATTAGTAACATGGGGTTGAAGAGAAAATATTCAGAAAATCTCTGCGAACATCATTCACCAGTGCCTGAAAGACAGCAGGGGCATTAGTAAGACCAAACGGCATCACCAGATTTTCAAAATGACCTAGAGGGGTATTAAATGTGGTATTCCAATCATGCTGCTTTTTTGTTTTACTTTATTCTTTTTTTATGTAATCCTGCACATAGACATAGACAGGTGAAATGTGGATAAGGTAGGATCTAGGGAAGTTTGCATGTTTGGGTAACGTTCTTGTTGATGGCATCTGGTCGTGATCTTTTGTTTAGTAAGCATGGTATTTATTTTGGGTAAGTTTGTTACGTGAGTGCATTCATGGAAGTGGTGCAATCACCAAGACTCTGCCCACTTCAACAGGTATGAAGACCAAAAAACTGTTTTTTCTGCTCTTCTTCACCTGATCCCAGCTGTGAGTGAACCATTTGAATGTGTGATCGTGGACTGTGTGGGCCCATTGCCTAAAGACAAAAACTGGACATCAATTTCTGCTAAGGATTAAAAAAAGAAAACTAAGGAATCATTTAAACATATAGACTCCAAAAGTAACACAGGTGCATAGCTTCGCTAATTAACTAGCAACGAATTAACAAAAGGGATTACAGAGTGAGTTAGATGTTCTATAGAACTATAAGATGTTAAGATGTGTCCTGTTAATTATAGTGATGTGGTTGTATTTTCTGTTGATTTAATGAACCGTCAGTCACAGTTTTATTAGCAGAGCTGAAGGAGCCAGACTATGTAAAAAAGTGTACTGCGCCGACTCTGGCTCCAAAAGTGCAGCAGGGCAGCTCCTACAAACAGGAAATCTTGACTATCTTATCTATATCTTCCATCTTTTCTACAGTCATTGGTGGGACTAGGTTAATCGAAATTTTTAAGTTGCCCTTTGGTGTGAATGGAAGTCAAATGGTTGTTTGTCTCTCTGTGTTAGCCCTGTACCAGACTGGCAATACTCCAAGGTATACCACGCTGCTCGTCCTATAGTAGCTGGGATAGGCTCAAGCCCTCCGTGACCCTGATAAGGATAAGAAGTAGACAATAAATGGATGGATGGATAATAACATTAATGTGTGTGTTTTCAGGGTGTTCATCCTTGTCTTGGTGTGTCTTAGTCTGCTGTGGATTCCTGTTGTCCAGACAGCCAATAGTGGACAGCTGTTTGACTATATTCAGTCAGTGACCAGCTTTTTAGCACCTCCCATTACTGCCTTATTCCTAATGGCTATCTTTTGGCCACGAGCCAACGAGCAGGTATGTCTGCCTCTTCAGATTCAATCCAATTCAATTGCATTGGTCCCTGTGTCATTCTATCCCTTGCATCCTCTTATGTTAAACCAACTGACACCTTCACTACATTCACAAATGTCCTCTGAAGTCTTCCTCTTTTCCTCCTGCCTGGCAGCTCCATATTCAGCATCCTTTATCCAACATATCGACTATTCCAACTCTACATATCTCAACTCTAGCTTTGTCTCCAAACTGCTAAACCTTTGATGTACTCATTTTCTAATCTTATCTATCCTAATCTTGTAATTGAAAGAGGACATGTAGGATGGCTTTCATGTGCAAATCCATCCTACAGACTACTCTCCAATGCTGCCTAGCTTGTTTCCTACAACCACCCTGCAGTCTCTTTTTGATTGCACCTTTTGGATAAGATGTGGTCTATTTGTGTGCAAATTCTTCCATACTTATATGTTACGCTGTTACCTTTATACGTTTAATCCTCTTATTAAAGTATGTGTTTGCCTCAGCCATTTCTATCCTTTTCAAAAATCACCACACAATCAATTTTCACAAAGAATGGAAAAGGCTAAATACATGATTATATATAATATGAATGGGATGTGTGTGTGTGTGTGTGTGTGTGTGTGTGTGTGTGTGTGTGTGTGTGTGTGTGTGTGCCATTCCCTAATCTTGAGATTCTTGCAAGTTGATATATAGAGATATGTCCTGTCTCCTCTTAATTTAATTTAGAGCTCTTTCGTTTTTTTAGTGCAGTCACTGTTGAAGTTTCCTGACGCTGTTATGATGATACCAAGGTTCGGGCCATGGCTGGGAGCTGCATTTCAGCCAGTGGTGTTCGAGATTTTTGAAAGTATCTGATTAACAGCAGCTTCATTTTTCAGCATGACAATGACCCCAAAAATACTGCCAATACAGCGAAAACATACTGGATAGAAAAATACACAATAGAACACCACCAATCATTGGCTGGGCTTCTCAAATCTTCAACATTACTAAAGCAGTATGAAATCACTTTGACAGAGAATTTAAAAGAAAATAATAGATATATAAACACAATTTTAAAAACAAGCGGAAGCCTTAATAACTTGGGTTTCTTTTTTCTTTGCCAGTTCCAAATTATTCAGCATCTAACGTGTTGTGTATGTCCTCTGTCTCAGGGTGCATTCTGGGGTCTGATGGCTGGACTAGTGATAGGACTGATCCGAATGGTTCTGGAGTTCTCCTATTCACCTCCTTCCTGTGGTCAGCCTGATCACCGGCCTGCAGTCCTAGCTGATGTCCACTACTTGTACTTTGCTCTCATCCTGTTGGCTCTCACATGCCTCATCATTGTTGCTGTAAGCCTGGCCACTGCCCCAATACCTAAAGAAAATGTAAGGAAAATTCCTTATATTATTCCATTTTATTTATATTCTGATCTCTGGAGCGGTAATCAGAAGGTGTCTACTGAACAATATCCAGAGTTCATATAACATATGATTCCTGTTGCAAAACAAACGAAAGAAAGAAATGCAAAGGGAAAGTGTAACTAAGTTGCAGTTAAGCAATTCATTTTGACTATGTGGATTTCAACCTTCTTTCGACTGCTTCCTTTAGGGGTCACCAAAACAGATAATCTTGCTTTCATCTGTATGAACTATTGAACCCTTGAGGATTCTTAATCTACAGAAATTGAAGTTGCGAGATTTTGTTTCCATTCTCAAACTAATACATTTAAGGCTGTTCATCACTGGAATCATCATGGGTTACTTTAAACATACAGACCTGAAAAGAATACTTAATCAGGTCTATACAAATATACTGACAGTATATAAGGCGCATACACCTGCGCACCTCAGACTACCAGATCATATCCCTCTCATTCTGATCCCAATGTATACACTGTGGGTGCGCATTGAAAGAACTGCAGTCAAAACAGCGCAAGACTATTTTGATCAAAGGAACTGGGAATTGTTTGCAGGTGAGAGTTATGTGAAAAAACTGTGTCTGTTCAGTTTAGGGGTACATAGAGTTTTGTACTGAAAACAATACAACAAAAAGAACAATAAATCTATTTCCTCATTGAAAAGCCATGGTTGAACAGTAATTTTAGGGCTCTACTTTAAAAAAGCCATGCAGCCTTCAGGATAGGGGACAGACAAACCTACAGCACAGGCGAAACTCCAGAGAAGCATCAGGGAAGCAAAGCAAACCATAGAAAATGACAATCCCAGCAGTATGTCGAAGAGCTTGAAGGTACTGATGGACTACAAGACCATCAGAATGCTGCCAGACGATGACAATACTACACTGCTTTCCCTGTTTTGACACCAGGAGAGGAGGGGAGGGACTGGTCATTTAGCCAAGTAGACAATATACACTTGTCCTTCAACAGCATCAGATGAGGACTGTGTTAAAAGGCATCAACATCCACAAAGCAGCTGGTCAAATATCCTTGGACAAGATACTAACCCTAAGTTGCTCTCCAGTGTGTGTGAATGTTAAATAGAAAGCACTCGTGTAGAAAGAGCATAGAAAAAAGCGCTCATGTGTAGTGAGCATGAGCATATAGTGAGGTTGGGGAGTAGCCAACTAAGTGGTGTAAGGACAATGATCTAATCTTTAACACATCAAAATCAAAGGGGATCCTTATTGACTTCAGGAGGTCGAGGGTCAAGAAACTACATCTCTGGTGAAATAGGGGAGATTGCGGAGATTGGGAGTCACCTTCTCTGCACAGCTGACTTGGTTTACAAGAGAATCTTCTTTCCTAGAAAGTTGAAGGAGGCCAGAAGCTCGTGCTGAAGTTCTACAGGAGTATATACTGATGACTCATGCAACAGTGTGGTATGCCAGCTGTTCTGCTGGTGAAATGAAAGAGCTGCACAGAGTGGTGCAGACAGCAAAGTGCATTGCTGGGATGGAGTTAAGGAGGCTGACAGTATCAGCAAAGACAGTACACTCCCAGGATATTCTCAGTTTGAACCGCTTCCATCTGGCAAACAGTTCATTGTTTCCATCTAGAGTGGTAGCTTCCACCACCCCAATTTCCACTTCACTACCACTGTAAAGATGGCACAGAAATACTCAGACATTTCAGTACAAACAAAACATAATTGGCTCGACACAACCTTATACAGTCGTGTATAATGCTGCTATTTTGCTTCTCTGTTGATGCTGCTTAAGTTTGCTACTAACTTTATTTTTATCTCTTAAATTTGCTTCTAAGTTTAAGTTGTTTTTGTTTTTTTACTTGTATTGTTTTGTCCTAAGAGAGAAAGCCAAACCAAATTGAATTGTACTATGTATAATTAAATTGAAATCATTCAGTCATTCATGTATTTGATCATTGGTAATCTGTAATAATTGTTTTTCATTCTTCGTCTCTTTTCATGTGTAGCTGCATAGGCTGACCTGGTGGTCCAGACATAGTCTTGAACCGCGGATGGATCTCTCAGGTCTTCAGATCACCTCTGACCAAGTGGACTCTAACCTCAGCTCAGAGTCTGACCGATTGCAAGAATCCACTTGGAAAAAAGTTGTTCTGTGGCTTTGTGGTTTGGCTAGTTCACGCTCAGAGTCGGCAGCTCCAGTGATTCAAAGCAGTGAACGAAACTTCCTCCAGGAGAAGTCACTCTGGAGAATAGTCTGCGATGTTAATGCCCTGCTACTGCTGGTTGTTAATGTGTTTCTCTGGGGATACTTTGCTTAATGTGGTCATGAAATCTTGAACATGTTGTTTTTCTTACTTCTTACTCTTCTTAATAACTTTGCTTTTCTAAACTATTCAGGAAAGAAGAAGTGGGACAGAAAAAGGATTCTCAGATATGAAACAATGAACTAATTATTCTCTATTGATTCATATCGTGCTCAAGGTTGCTCTCAAATAATATTATCTATAATTACATGATCTACAATACAATTCAGGTTGTTACTTTTGTCGCCAACTCATTCTATTGTAAGTTACCACTGGATAAACATGAATATCATCTGAATTTTCATGTCAATTAATTACTGGGAAGGAGATTAAAGTAGAGGATCCACTCACCAACAGAATTCCTGTTTTTTTATAACTTTCTGAATAGTTTTAAACTCATACGGCAGAAATTTACCAACATCAAGAATTGAAAAAAAATTTACTATAAAATTACCATCTTGTACAAAACTACTTCTTGCAGGCTAAACATAGACAGACAGACAGATAGATCCATCGAACATTCATATACATTTCAGACTGGTGACTGTCCAACATACCTTTTGAAATTTGATGAGATGATCTAACACCTGACAAGCAAAAATCCTTCCTGGCTTCAGGAAGGATTTGATCTTGTGAACTTGGTGGTAACAGACGTACCAGCAGTATGATTGTAATGATTGTAGCTATGTTGCTGTTATATCCATTAAGCCAGCAAATGATTATCTAGCAAGTATTTCTTGATTTTACAGAAAATTTTCAGAAAGAATAGACTATTGCTAATAAACTGCAGCCATTTGACAAATAAATCAATAAATAAATGTCTTACCCCATTTACCCATACCTGTATACAGGCAAGAGAGATAAGATTGACATCCAGTTAGCTGTACATTGTTTGCTAACAAAGGCATCTACCATCACTATGTCTACTCCTTCACTGTTACACCCATTTCCCACTCAGTCACACAAATAGATCCCTTCTTTCACTCCTCTTCTTTTCAGAGCATAGCTCCACCTCTCTAGGCTCTCTTCTATCCACCCAATCCCTAGTCTCAAGTCTAGTCACAGATCACAATGTCCTGTAAGCCCACTGAGATTCCTTCCCAACCTCATCTGCCAACCTGTCCATCGCTTTTGCAAATGAGAAGGGGCTCATAGCCGAACCCTGATGTAATCCAGTCTCCACCCTGAACTGACCTAAAACCCATCGGTCACTCCTACTGCACACCTCACCAGTGTTTCACTGTTCTCATACATGTTCTGCACTAGTCTTTCTCTATATCCACAATGACACTGGCTGTCTTTCATAGCACGTCTTTCGTCCAGTTTTCCTCCCCTCACAACATGGTGATGGCCGTCCATCCATGAGACTAGTTCTGTTGGAGGTTTCTTCCTGTTAAAAGGGATTTTTTTCTTCCCACTGTTGCCAAAACACTTGCTTATAAGAGGGTTATAGGATTGTTAGGGTTCTTCTATTTTCTTTGTATTATTGTAAGGTGTTTACCTTACAATATAAAGCCCCTCGAGGAGACTGTTGTTGTGATTTGGCAATATATAAATAAAACTCAATTGAACTCCCTTTGTCTCTGTTTGTCTGCAACCTCAGCAGATCAAAGTGAAATTAATTTGATCCCCGGTGTGTTCTGTGTTCTCACAGCTACAGTTAAACTCTCAAGATCAGAATTAAGTACAAACATTTTATATATTTTCTAAATCAACAAATTATTACATGCACATTCCTGTGACAATGCAACAGTTTGCCTCACTTAAAAGTAAAGCAAACTGTTGCCTTACTTTTGCAGTGCAGAGTTAAGCTGCACATATAAAATGCATACCCCCATCAGAGAATCTATATTGTGCCATTATCACCAGCAGGAGGTTACCCGACACTAGTGTTAGGTCTCTGAAGTGGAATCTGTTCACGGAGCCAGCAATGAACAAAGGCAGAATTTACATTGTGAAAGACCACATATTAAATGTCCATTCTCAATAATTGTTCATTTATTAAAACACAAGTGGAAAGAAAGTACAACTATAGACCACATTACATTGCTTGGAGCCAGACCCAGGGGAGGGGCTTGTCAACAAGTGCCTGGTGGTCAGGCTAGCACGTGCAGCCTGGCTGGGCTCAGTCACATCTTAACATAACATATTAATATAATATGCCTGTCTTACAAAAGGTGCACACCTCTTTTTTTATTACAGAAGGCTGTGATGACTAACTGAAATCAGACAAAAAAAAATTATCCATACAGTAACGTGCATCACAGCTTGTAAATCATAGCACATTTTCCATAAATGCAAAAATGTGAAGAAATAACTGCCTTCATCTCTGGTTATCAACCTTTATTTTTTCTGTTTAAAACAAATGGAAAAACTCAACAACACATAAATATCCATATTTACAGCATCTGTGGTAGTGTAACACAGCCTTCTGCATTCTTTCTTCTATACTACACCCATCTGGTCCTCATGAGAGCGCTGGTGGAAGACAAAGGATACAGCAGCATCCCAAGACGCTTTCAGCACTTGGTCCCTCAGGCCCTTCTTGTCAGAACAGTGGTTCCAATGGGAGAGGTCACTGTTACAGTCGGCATCATTGTCAGGTTGTCTTGTTTCTCTGCCATTCACACAGCGGCGACAGCGAAACCTAATACAGGAGGGGAAAGAGAGGCTGATTTAGGGCGTGCCATACATTATGATCCATAGTGTGAGATTATTTTTCTATCATAAGTTGCGCAGAGAAAAGACATAACTGTGAGCAAATAATTTCATTTCAGTGGCGCAATTAAATTTCTCACGTGTGAAGAACTTAGCAGCAATGAACACCGTGTCTGCTTTGTGCTGCTACAGTTTCCCCCCCTCGCGGGAGGCTTTTTCCACCTACAGAGGAATCCTGCTAACACGAATCAACTGACTTTTGACTGGATGCCCACAGGATCCTTTGATCAACAGTTCAGGTGATTGTGTTAAACAGTTACATTGGTTATTTACTGCGTAGCAGTATATATACTGACAACAGTCACTGGATTACATCACTGCTGAAGAAATCTTTAAAACCAGAAGATTCAAAGGTAAGTTCTGAAGCCTCTGCACTGCTGTCCCATTAATCTGCATGCCCTTTATAATTAAAAATAACAAGGATGAGGCAAGGAAGTGTGCATCATAATCAATCAATTATAATTATAGCCAAAATAGAAATATAACCATGCCACCAAAAAGCTGCTCAGTCAGCAGCAAACACGTTCACTTTGGTGGGATGTGCAGCTACAAGTGATAAATCAGTACAGACCGAGAAACTGTAGCAGTGGCCGCAAAGCACACAGTCCTGCAGGTGCGACGGCTTCTTTGTGTGGCTGTTGAGTTTTACATGCGAGGGTCGTTAAATTTAAGCACAAAGATTTTAATTGTGCTGTTGAAATTAAATTATTTTCTTGGATTATGTTTTTTTCTTGAATGCAACTTATGATAGAAAAATAATTCCATACATAACATAATAATGGCTTCCAACCATTACTATCCACGTCAACCTAGCAATCAAAATGCCATAACTAACAACTTCGAATCACTTTTTACGACAGTGTTAAACCCTCTCAGTTTTGCTCAAATAACTATTAATCTCGAAAACTCGCATTAAACTCACTTGGTGTCAGTTCTTGTGCGAAAGCCCATAAAATCTAAAAGCACATGATAGGCTGCCCAGAACATGATAGATGCAAGGATCTAACTTCAGCTGCAATGAGCTCTCAACTCAGACAAGAACACATAACCTTTTACAGCTACGTCACTTGTGCCAAGAAAATTTCTACAAGATATTTGGGCTTTAATTTTAATTTACCATTTCTAGAGTAAATTAAGTTCTCTGGACAATTAGTAGACTGAACAGCACAGACAACGTGTGTGAGTAATGTGTTGTACTTGTCGTGTGTGTCACTAGTGGTCTCTTCGTTGAGAGTGAAGAGTTCTCGGAGTTCGCCCAGAGAGAAGTGACGCTCCACATCCTGTTCTTCATCCACCACACAGCTGCTCAGGGCTTTTTTATGGGCCTGCCTTTGTAGGATCTTCTCTTCAATTGTTCCCGTCTGTCGGGAAACAAGCACATGTCAAAACTGGTAAATCTGTAACCAGCTCAGTGTACATTTCAAAAGTAACCTGCTGTACTAAAACACTGAATGTGAGGTCCTAAACATTGTTGAAAATGCACTGAACTGACAGAGAGAAGTCGGTAGATGTAGCAGGTCTTCTTCTGACCATCTCTCCACACCCGAGCCATTGCTTGCTCGTCATTCGCTGGGTTCCAGTCGGGATCAAACATCACTAAGCGGTTAGCACCAATCAGATTGAGGCCACATCCACCAGCCTTGCTACTCAGCATGAAGATGAACTCTGGGTTCTGAGAAAAAGATGTCTTCAGACGCTGTTCAGAAGTCTTTCAAAGCTCTCAATATTGCTTCAAACTGATTTTCCAACTCACCGACGGGCTGTTGAACTTTTCCACAATCTTGGCTCTTTTCTTGATGGACATTGTGCCATCCAGCCGAACATAGAGGTATCTGACAAAGACACAAAAGAGGAGGAATTAAAATCATTTAAATAGCGCACTTAAAATGGTGATTTCTGCAAATATACCTTCTAGATCTGCAGAGCTTTTCAAAGAGATCCAGAGTCTGTGTGTAGTTAGAGACAAGCACCACTTTGTCTCTTGTTGTGGTCTTTGTCATTGCCAGAATGTAGTCGAGAACCAGCATTTTCCCTGAAATAAACAAAGCAATAAATAGAGAGGGGAGGCTGCATGACTTCAAAATAGCACCACCCTTTAGACACATTAGGCACATTTACAGAAAATTAGTCTTAAGAAAAGAAGGCAATAAAAAAAGTTAATTCTTATAAAACAATATTTTATTTAATATTATGTAAATGTAAACATTAGACAAGCTATTAAACTGTGAAAACAACCCTGTTCACATTTTTACTTAGCTTACCTATCTGACTTAATGTTCTGATTACATTCTACTAAT